ATTGAACCCAGGACCCTGGGATTGGAAGGCAAGCATCTTAACCACCAAGCTATTCAACTCCACTCCTGATAGTTGATAGTTCATGAAACTATGTGCCTACACTACTGTATAATAAAGTTGGAAATCAGAATCGGCTGCATACTAAAAATTGTGCTACATAATACCAGCGCCCATTGTGATCCCATATTAGATATTTAAAGCAAAGCGCAACAAAAGTTTTTCCAATCCAAGATACAAATATTTGTACACACGATGTCGGACAAATTTCACAACCTAATATCAAGAGAACTACTACCCTTGAAACCCCTCCCTTTCCTGGACAGGATGTATTGCATTTTACCCCACTTTCTCCCTAAACATTGTATGATTAATTAAATTATTTAAAAACACCTCAATTTCCACTATAGATAAAAGTTGGAAATAAGCATTTCTAAGATAATGTTTAGGGTCACACCCCTAGTATCTGGAGCTAACAGTTAGCACCTGTGTGAAAACACAGGATGTGGATACGCAAAGTTGAATCAAGAGTGCTTTTCTATCATAAACCAATCACACGTACGGATTTCCTAATGGCCGGTGATCTGATCATTATCTTGATATCTGCATCAGGGATTTTCTTGAATGAACTCACGGGTGAACTTGTATGTTTGAATCTGGATCCTGCTGACCGTTAGCTGCCGTGTATGAACATAGCCAGTGGTTGATTGGCTGGTTTTTTATTGATGCAATCAGATGTTACATTGTAAAATAGGTGCTTGAATGGTGTGAAAGCCTCATGGTAACTGTGTATCTAGCTATGTTTATCTTTTTGAAAATCACATTATTATGCTTTGAAATTGCATTTATCATTACCATGGTTTAACAGCAAACATTTTAAGTACAGTATCATGTGAGTTTAGCAGTATAAAATTAAAAATTGCTTTTGTACTGTAAATCAAGCAACAGAATACTATAAATAAGGTGTGCTCTCATTTGAAATATATTTCTTCCACATTGTTTCTTGGTCATATGTTTGTGATGGTCTACTGAGCATATGGTGGTTGCCAGAATCTTACAACTAATATTTAGAATTATTTTTTATGTGAAAAAATTGTATTGCTTATAGGCAACCCCAATGAGGACAAGCATATATATATTTTGAAATTACGAATTAAAAAAATCATGAAGAGGCAGATAAATGAAAATTGAGTTTCTTTTTCTTATACTGTATATAATAAATATTAATAACATCAATGTACACTATAAACAATAACATTTATGGTAGATATACAATAACATATAAATATAAAGTCTTTTAAAAGTCATTTATATATTAACTACAGTTAAACACTTGCCTAATACAGTAATTTTTAAGTCGCACTTACTAATCATTTTGGATCAGACTTAAGTAACTGTATCATCTTTCATTAGGCTTGATGTTAGAATATATGAAATATTTCAACCTGCTGTTGAATCTGAATATCATGATTACAATCAACTACTGTACTTAGAATATTTGTGGTACCTCTGCCATCAGAACTTAATCTGGGGCAAATGTCAGTTGAGGTAGGTGGTTCTTTTCCTTGGAGGCACACAAGAAATAAATAGTAGACAAAACCTGGTGCTGGTCTTGAGATGAGGTTCCATTACTGAAATACACACAGTAAAGAACACTGCCCTAGTAAATTAGGACATAATCTGATGCAATTGTCAGTAGGGGATGTTCAATCTCTGCAAAACATAGTAAAGACCACTGCTATCCCCAGTAGATTAGGACTTGATGTCGGCAGAAAAGGCTCTGTTCCTCAGATGTGCTGCACCCTGGAAAGAACTCTGATGTCACCTATTAGTTCAAGGCATAAACTTGTGTAATGTTGGTAGGGGCGGTTGTATTCCTCCACTGGTTTTCACCTTCTTTGCTGGTCTTGCCACTTTAGTCAGATGAGAACTTCTTGACTGAAAGTTTTTGTTAAGACAATAATAACGAGAAGTAATTACAATAGAACCCCTCATTTACGTACAGCACGGGCCCAGAGCCGTTCGTGATTGCGGGTATTCGTAAAATCAGGGTTGACCCAAATTCATATATATATTTGCACTGGTACTAGTCTAGGCCCACAGGCCTATGCAGCTAAGTCTGAGGGGGCCTAGGCCTACAGTAGGCAGTTTCTAAGCAATCTGATCCCATTCCAGGCCCTACACAAATTTGTTTTTATCGGACGTTTTTACCTTCTTAAATACCTAGATTGTGGATTTTACTCCAACACAACTTCCATAGATACTTTATGTTGACTTTTAAAGCTGAAAACGATGTTTAAAAGAGAAGTAAAATTTGTCACATGCCCATGTGTGAAGCCATAAAAAACAACGAATTTCAAGAGGCCCGTTAGAGGGCCTCCTTCACTTGAGAATTACATTAGTACTGTATAGTATTGTATGTTGTATGCATGCTAATAACAGTTAAAATTCGAGCGATTTTTTTTTTAAAATTTTTCGCTCACTTTTTATGACGTCATCACCTTGATTTTACGTTCGTAAAATCAGTAATTCGTTAAATCGGGGTGCGTAATTAAGGGTTTCTACTGTATGAAGAATGCAACACCATGATGCGCATGCAATGGATCGTTTTTTAATGGCGATATGTTCTGACTGCCACTGACAATCAGCAGATGCTGTCGCATTGTCTAACACTCACAGGGTGCCTTGTTGGATTCGTCGAAACGGTTATTTTTTGTTATTGTATTTGTGGACAAATATATTTATAAATTTATAGTACAGTACTGTATAATACGTTATAATAAATGCAATTCCTGTTTTTTAAAATGTTCACTTGTATATTATTGAGGCTAAATTTTAACGACTTGAAATTAATGTTTAAACCTCCAAATTCTGATTACGCCTTTAAATTGATATAGCATGGCACTTCATGGTGTTTTTCTCTAGCTATCAAGAATATAGTATGGTTTTAGGTGACTGCATTTTACCATTTATAAGTAATAAGTAGTAATAGTATGGTTTTGATTTCTTTGGTAAGAAATGATGACCCATGAAAGTACGATTACTTATTCTAAGTGGATTTCTTCTGGTGGTGAATAGGCAGTAAGTACACTGAGAAACATTTCCTAGCTCTTTTTTTTTAGTGTACTGCATTCTTTAACATGCAGGAGCAGCAGCTTGTGAATTGAACCAAATGACAAACGACATTTAGTGGCTAGCACCAGTTTTAGTCAGAGCTAAGTTGGTATCTTGTATGGAACTACATCATGGCGAGTTGCATGGCAGAGCGGTTAAGGCAGGGGCGCCACGCTATGGTTCTGGTGGTGTAACAAGTCTATGGACAGATATAGGACTATAAACCGTAGGCCCAGTGTACATAATTTGGCTCATCTAATCTAAAGAACCCAGTACATCTTTTCAGACGAGTAGGGGGTACTCCGGTGTACTGGTTCATTCAGCCCCTGCTGTGGACAGATGACAGGGGTATATTTATGAATTTGAGTAGCAGGAGAAATTTGAAAGTAACAGGAGAGTAAATTGAAATAGGCCGGGGGTATAGGGGGGGTGCGCCCCTGGACCCCATCGGGGTCCAGGGGCAAAGCCCTGGTCGGGGGGGCGAAGCGCCATTGTACTCCAGGGTATTAGAGTTTTTTAAGCCCATTTGATGGCATTTCTCTACATCATTTTTTTAAAAACAGTTTTCAGAATCAACTATGAGCTGTAAAAAAAGTCGATATTTTTACATATACTGTATCTTCATACATAGGCCTAGCCTAAATAGATACTGTAAACCAGAAACTTTCGCGAATTGATAATTTCGGCCGTTTTCGCGACATTAAACTTTCGCGAATCTTAAAAAGCCTAAATTTAATTCATGAGAGGAATATCATACAATAGCTGAAAATATCGTATCGTGAGTTTAGGCCTAGGTTAGATAGGCCTACAGCCACTAAAACATTAAAAATGAGTATTCAATTTTCATTGGAATTGGCATTTAGTTATGCATTCTGAAATTATTTTTTGCACCCACCCACCCATCCCATGCCGAAACACCTGCCTACGCCCCTGAAGAGGATATTTCTTTTCGTCAGGCCACTGCATTCTACCCCTACCCCAATTCAATGAATGGTTGAATGTAGAGGTGGCAGCAGAGTGGTTTAATGGCCAGTAGGTGGTTGTCATTAAGGTCCAACCCAGCAGTCAGGGGAATCCAATTAGGATTGGGGACATAGCCAGTCAACAAAAAAGTTAACATTCCTCGTTTAACAAGCAACTAACATGTGCTGTACATCTGAATGAGAAAGTCTGCTTAATCTTTTGATATCAGGGGACATAGTAAAACTTAAGGGGAAATCACATAGAGGTTCAGCAGCACCGCAAACAACTGGGCAGTGCCATCAGCGAACCCCCATTTTTCCAATCAGAGAGTGCCATTTCCAGGCATCTAAGGTGCTTTTTCAAATAAAAATTTATCCAACCATGGTGGCCCTGAGGTGGGTGTGGACCCTGAAGGGGAATATCTTGCAATAGGCCTGCAATGTCATTGCCCTTAGCATATTTTTACTAATTAAATGTAATAAAAAAAAAAAACAAAAAAAAAATGCGTCAATACCTGTACATACTTTGGACACCTGAATTATTGTTGAATTAGAATTTTAGAATTAAATCTGAAATGAGGCACAACTATATAAAAAAAAATATTTTACCTTATTTGCCATTGATGTGGTTTTAATAAATGGAATGCCAAACTCTTTACACTCCCGATGAGTAGCAGCATTAGGACTAGGCTTAACAATATCTGGTGTAACAGGATTTCCGGGATGTGAGCTGATATCCAGGCTGGTATCACTACCCCAATCTTCAGGGTCTTGAAGCTTAGGAGCTTTCAAGTTAAATGGTGCTGGGCTAGTAGTATAAATGGAAGTAAATATTAAAATCTCATTGCTGAGGATATTATACAGTGGATGAAAAAAATTGAGCACAATTCAAAATTTATTTATTGACTTTTTTGTTTGAATACACACATTGCCTAGTACAATTTAAAATATACTAAAACACGAAATAAATACAATATGTTAAAACATTCCTTCTTAAAAGAATCATAGTTAAAATGATAAGAGATTCTAATGGAAAAATGGCAATCATTAAAAAAAAGGAAAAAAAAGTCATAGAAAAATAGATTCCCAGCAGAATAAAATTCGAAAAAATTATAACAAAACTGGGTAAAATATAGAGTATAAAATTTTAAATATTTTATCAGTTGAATTGCAATATTGGCATTAGCATTGTATTAAATCATTTAATCATTACTTAAGATATACTTCCTAAACTAAAACATGCAGGCCTCGAATTGCCGACGGTGCCCTCCCAGTTGGCCTTGGTGCCCCTGAAAATGAAGCACGACGACGGCCACTACTTGCCTGCCCTTTTGAAGCCTTGGCCTCGGTGCCCTCACGATGCTTAATATAAATCCTTTGACACGTAAAATAAATTTAAGTAAGAACGTTTAAATCTTGAAGGAAAACATGAAAGCCAAAAATGTAGGTCGCCTAAGCTAGCCTAGGCCAGGTTGCAGTGACAGAACAGAACATGAGAGAATTTCCATGTGTGTTGATACAAACTGTTTTTGCGGTTACCATTCTGTGCGCATGCGTCTTACTCTAACGGTTATTGCAATATAAACATGGGCTCATTCGACTGGTACATTTCGTTGGAACAAATTTTCGTTGAGTATTATTTTCATTCGACTGGTTCGTTAGACTTCGTTGACAATGAAAATTAACGTAAACCAGAGTGCGTTAATCAGCGTTAAGTTATCCACGTGACTAAAGAGAAACATGGCCGATTGGTAATTTTTTATTAACAACATTTGCGTTAAAATAACTTAGATTAAATTTCATAAAATTAACATTATAATATTTACCCACACGGAGTCAAAAAATTATTGTAGGCAAACAAGAATAAAAAAAACTGGATGAAAATATTTTTTTTTACGAAAACCCATACTACCACAAGTTGAAGCAATCTTGGTTACGCAACGTGTATCGCGGTAACTATACAGCCATTTTGTTTTGTTGAGTATTTACAAGTTCTAATCGACTGGTCTTCTTCGTTGAGTAGGATGTTACTGCTGCGCATGTGGGCGTGGTTTAACGAAGAACGACCAGTCGAATACGGCCTTTGTATAGTTGTAAACATGTGCTTGCTGCACAGCTAACTTTGGGTGATCTTACGTCATCGCAGCTTTCGCGGCCAGTTTAGAGTTGTGGCTTCCTCTCCGATGACGACGGACTGAGCAACAACACAAATATATCGAACTTTATGAAATTTGACTGTTTTGTACGATCGCCAACCGCCGCAGTATATTCCAACATTGAATCGATAATTAACAGTTAATACTTAAAACAAAGTCCTATTACCATTGACAACTATGGCTTGGCCTAGCTTGCCTAGCCTGGCCACAATGAATCAAGGCACTCGCGAGAAATTAGTACTGAGGCTAAATCAAATTTTGCCTTGGGTGCACTCTTATACTTGAAATTTTGGCCTTGGTGCCTTTTAAAATCATGTAATACCGGAGGCCATTTGGCCTTGCCCATAAAATCCCCAAATTCGAGGCCTGAACATGTATTAACACCACCCACTAACCAGTGCATGACCATATACCATGTTATGTACATTGTTGTCATATACCCAGACAGTAGTCTTGGATGAATAAGGTTGCATTACTTTTACCAGTATTAGGTTCATAAATATATTATAGTATCAACATTATAATTGAAATTACCATCCCCTTTAAGTTATTTTTTACTGTCGTACCACCATCTTCAGCACTATCGTCAGTCATAGAAATTTGTGTTACCCCAACACAGAGACATTTGAACATCAGGATTGGTTTGTTATTTGCTCCAAGATTTTGATCGGTTGGCTAGTCTTTTTTGTTGGCCTCACTGAGTCTGTGTCTTTGCCTTTACTAAAGACCCACTTTTGCTACCTTGGTAACCTACAAGCATATTTCGTCCACTGCATAGCCTAATATTTTGAGCGATTTCTATGATTAATAATGTTAATTTAAATGCATCACCTTTCAAAGAGTAATCTTGATATCACTCCCTTAGCTCCACTTGGTGACTTGACAGATCTTTGTAAAATTTCCAGCTTCTGTTTTAAATTTTCTTTGTCTTTCTCCAGAGAGCTAACCTCCTCTTCCAATGCCTTGATTTGTTTCACATTGTTTCCCGTTTGTATCTTGTAATCATTTAGCTGTAGATACAAAAATATATATGAAATCCATTTCATTGGTAATTCCCCACCCCCCATTTGTCTTGGAAAAGACGGCTATTTTTACCAGTACCATTAAAAAATTAATAGTGTAATTCCTTTTGAAAATGGTGAATCTTCAAATGTTTAAGTTTACAATAAGAGAACACCATACAGCAATGTAGTATACTAAAAGACATTGATGATAACAAGTTAGCTGCAGTTCATCAGTCCACTTGTCGGTAATTCAGTATTCTCATGTCAGTGACCTTGTGTCTGGTGGCAATTTCAGTGGAATCGGAAAATGGACAGGCCAAACCCCCATCATTCATAACTCATCAGACCAGAAAAACAACACAAACAGTTTTTGTTTTTCTTTTCTGTAAAGGCATAAAACCGATCAAAATTGTATCTAGGCCCCAGTGATCCGGGATGCAAACTGGCCTCCACCGAAAATTGTCAGTCCTTGTGGGGGTCAGCCCAGTCTAAAATTCTAAAGCCATCACAAGTTGTGTTCCACATGTTGGTAATGTGTTGTGACTTTGTTTATGCATTATATTAAAAGTATACATTATGCCTGTCATCATGTGTTTACAAGTCACATATTAATGAGTTCGTTTAACCTTAAAATATTTTATTATATAATATAAAGTTTGCACCTGTTTTGTTTTTGATGATAACTCTTTCTTTGTTGCTGCCAGTTCGTCTCTCAGGCGGGATTTGTTCATCTTTGCATTTTCAAATTCTCTGTAAATTGGATTAAAATATAAAGTCATAAGGTAAATATATTTGATCTAAACATACCAATTGCCTAATAAATTAATAAACATTATTTTGACAACAATTTAAGATTAATATAAACTGTATATTAATCTATAAATATATATATAATATATATATATATATTTTATATATGTATATTGTATATATATGCATACATATATATATATATATATATTCTTTATTATATATAGTAACTGTAAAGTTAATGAATTTAATCAAAGGTTTACAAAATGGATATTTTTTGTCATTTTAACTTTATAATTCATTATCACCATCATCATGGTTATAGCTTGTTGATTTTCGCATGCGAGGTTTAGACCATGGGAAGTCTGTAATTATGGCTATCCTATGATGCTGTCTCTTATACACATCTAGATGTGTATAAGAGACAGATTTACTTGTATCATTGAATTCTCATC